CATCTCGTTAAGTAAAAGGCATAGCAACATTTTCCAAATTTTCTGCAAAATTTGCAAAGTTTCTGCAAATTAATAGAATTTAGTTCTAAAAATAAAATGGATTATAACAGACTATAATAGATTGTAATGGATTTTTATTTCAAAAAAAATCGGTTATAATGGATTATCTTGCTAAAAGTAATGGATTATAATCGCTTTTAATGGATTATAATGAATTTTTTTTTCAAAAAAATTGATTCAAACGGCAATATAACCGATTCTGTGGTCTGAGTTTTACATCTGTAATGGGTTTTCATGGATTATTTTTTCTCGGGAATCCATAATAATCGATTAGAATCCATGGGCGCTCGGTGCGGTTTGCTTAAGGCTGCTGGTGGATGCTGGCGCACTGGATGCTGAAGTGTCCATTACTTCCATTACGAGCCCAAACTATGCACAATTTTATGATATCGCACTGAATAAGCGCACAATTTTGTATGTTCCTGGATTCCAGAGACAAGTCTTTAAACGTTTAAAAATTTTGTCGGGGCACGATCAAAGCAAATGAACAAACAAAGGGAGCGTCCTTGTTGCCGATTTCGTTTACAGTTCACAAATGATTACCCGGGTTGACCTCCATACACCGAAAATGCTTATCATACAATTCCATACATCAAGTGTGTGGAAAAATGCTTGTCATACAATTTTCATACAATTTCTAAAAATGGTTGAAAAAGATATAAACTTTTTTCCTTGGCTGTTTGATTCTACTAAAACAGTCAGGTAAAAAAAATCGAGGTTTTCGTTTTTTGAAAAAAAAGCTTATCATACAATTCATATATATCGAAATTGTATGACTGGCATTTTTTTGATGGCGACTCAAAAATTTTTCAAGTAATTTAGAAAATTTGGCCCAAAAGTTTTTTGTTTTTTTTTCGACCGCAAATCGAATTTCGTACGCAAACAAACATTTTTCGAAAAAAGAAATTTTGCATGCAATAATTAATTTTTTGTGTGCATAAAGTAGTCCTGGATACAATAATATTGGCTTTTATTTTCTTTTGACTTAATTTTTTTTTCAAAAACGCTGAAAATTCCTTTTTCCTTAGTATGGGGTGTTAGTTTGGCTTATCCTTTTTCCTTTGTAAGTTAGTTTGGCCTATCGTAATGTCGAACGGTTGATTACTGGGAGCTGGGTTCATTTTTCTTGGTGTAGGATCAACTGAGCCTGGGACAGCTTCCGCATCACCAATAATCACAGGAAATTAAGATTTATTAAACCTCAACTAGGAAATCACAAAAAGTTATATCGGGTTTGTAAATGTCTTTTGAATCGAAATATAACAAACTATCCGCCTAAATCGTTAGCCTCACTCATTGAAGGCCAAAGAACGGTCATATGCTTTCCACGAATGTCTGTGTTAACGGTTAAATGTCAATTTTAAGGATGTTAACGGTTAAATATATAGTCAGCTCGTGTTCCATCTATTCGGAGTATTCTGACGAGCATTCGTTTAATTCTGCAATATATCGATCTCGCAAAAATTTCTGAACTTTCGCGCAAAAATTATATGAAATAAGAAGAATCACACGCTTGACCTTAGGCTTCACTTGTTTCAATTGCTCAAAGATCTTTGCGAGTTTGTTTATGTACTCTTTCCAGAATTCAGACGTCGAATCTTGTTCCGTATTTTTCACATTTTTTTCAACTTTCGACAGATCTTGAGTTTGTTGAGTTGCCATCCCAAGGATCTTTGATGACCCGGCCCTTTTTTCCTCCTTTCTATGTTTTATCTGTTCTGATCTCGTTTATTTGTTCGGATAATAACAGCGTTCTCTGTTCTCTTTCTTTATTTTGTTAGCCTTGTGAAGGTGTTTCCGATAGACTGGGGGCTTTGGATTAGGTATGGATGGTCGTCATACGTTTTATCCGTACCCGGGGCGAGGTTCTCGATATATGTTTTGACATTTTGTTAGCAAAAATTGGTATGTTACGATCGTCTCGACCAATTTCGGTTTGTTTCGACAACATCGGCCAATTTCGGTTTGTTTTGACTTACTCGACCAAGTTTTGGTATGTTTCGATTTCTCGACCCAACAAAAAACTGTTTGACTTTGTTCGACCGTGTTCAGATATAATTCGACTTTCTCGACCACAATTCGATATGTCGCGACCGACATTTTTGAAAAGTTTATTTGTTCGACCCCGCATACCCGGGTTGACAAAAAATGCTTGTCATAAAATTTTCATTTATGAAAAACGCTTGTCATACTCTTTCATACAATTTCATAGAGTAAAAATAAGTGTATGAAAATAGCAAAATAAGCATTTTTTCCATACTTTGAAATTTTATAACAAGCATTTTTTCCATACTCTGGAATTAAAATTTGAGTTTTTTCATCAGTCTTTTTATCCCCAAAATTGTACGAAAATAGCATGATAAGCATTTTTTTATGCTATGAATGTGTCTGATAAGCATTTTTTCCATACTAAGAAATTGTATGATAAGCATTTTTTCCATAAATGAAAATACAAAAAAAAAATTTCGTAAAATTTATTTTTGAGCACAAAAGCAAGTTTGCAACAAAAAAAAATTAAAATTTTTCTTCTTCAAATTCGTGTTTTCGTTTATGAAAAAAGCATATCATAAAATTTTCATGTATGAAAACTTTGTAATAAGCTTTTTTTCCGACCGAAATTAAAATCATGTTTTTGATTGTCAAAATGCCCTCTATCTAATTATTTATAATTATTTAAATCTTTTTTAACTTACCCAGACACGTTTTTGGTGAGTTTTGAAAAAAATGTTCTATGACAAAATGATTATCTTATAATTTTCATATATTTTGTATGATAAGCATTTTTTCCATAGACGTCAAATATGAAACTGTAGGCTAAGCTTTTTTCCTCTTTGGACGTCAACCCGGGTAGATATGTTTCGACCAAAAATGGGTACGTTTTGACTGTACTCGACATATGTTTCGGTTTTCTCGACTTACAAATAACACGAGTAAATTGACAAAAAAAATAATATTATATGCATTTCAGTTGATTGTTTGTGATGATGCTTCATTTGAAAATAAACTATAATAACCTGTAAAATGCATTTTCCTCCATCGAAAATATATTTTTTTCATTTTGAATCTCCCATTTTGCTTTTATTTTCTGAACAAATCTGGACTGAAATTGTTGATGTGATGTTTGAGGAAAATTCAGTAGAAGTTACATTCTCTTGACGCAAGAATCCTTAGATTTCTCTCTGAAACTTCTTAGTTTTGCTGTTAGAAAATCTCTTCAATTGATTGTTGCGCGGTGGAACGTTCTGACGTAGGTCTTTGCTGAGCAGACTTTTTGTGCTCAATTTCCAAATTAAATTTAATTGAAAAAAATATTAATTTTGAAAAAAAACTAGGTTGTGCTCGACCTATATGTTTCGACTGTTGTCGACCTCTGTTTCGACTTTCTCGGCCTACGTTTCGACTTTCTCGACCACAATCGGGTATGTTCCGACTTTGTGCTCGACTTTTTCCTCTCGACCGCGGAACTTAACTAGCAACAGTGCACTTGTTCGAATTTCAGAGTCGAAAAATAATTCGAGCAACTCGACTCGGGCTGGGAGCGGCAAGATTTTGGCTCACAGGTCTTGGATGACTGCTAACGATATAACTGTCCAACCGCGACTTGTGAGATGACTATTGACGACTCACGGTCACTTTCCACCAAAAGATCCTACTATCATCAAATCTAATCTTGATGTTTGACTGCTGACTTTGCCTTGACCTAGAACTGGACCTAGAACTGGACCTAGAACTGGACCTAAAGAACATAATCAAAAGACTTTTGAAAAGACTCGTTGCTTATAATCATAAACAAGAAGGTAAGTCTGTGAAATTGTATGATTAACTTTGATTTGATTAGTTCGTTAAAATGAACAACAGCTTTTCCAAAATGAACACTAAAGATCGACTTCTGGAATCTGAATAGAATAGTAGCGCCCGACCATTGAATGGTATTTAAACAAGAGCAGAAGAACGAGTGGGAAGATGAAAATCACATGAGAACGAATGAATGAGCAGAACATGTGAGATTTTCATGCATCAAAAGAATTGGTTTTTCACTATGCATTCGAATTATTGATTTTTCCGTCCTATATATAACTAAATTATCAACAGAAAAGTAAAGACAATCTAAGAAAGTTGGTGTAGTGTGTGATATTATTACGAGGAGTTCCATCAAAAAACCATTGAAAAATACTGAAAAACGTGAGAATCACTATTTCAACCATTTTAGCCACAAATTGGTTTAGATACAATACAATCAATTTTAGATATAAAAAAGTTAGAGACAATTTTTATTCTGCTTTTATCATGGCTAAATTATGCGAGGATTTACTTAGGATGCATCTCGCGAGTATTGCCTCGGAAAAAACTGAGGACGCAAGTTTGATTTAAAAAGAGTTCTGGTAGAATTTTCTCGATAGCGTGCGGCCTCTTCCGGCTGACAATTTTTCCAAATGGTTGTTCGCTTTTAACCTTCCTAAGGACACCTGTAATTAATAAGCACAAAGTTTGAGGTATACCGTGCGCCAAAAGAAACGTGGTTTTTTAATGGAGTAACCCAATGCGTGCTGCTCATTCAAGCTTTTTTCACTAGAAAAATTGCACATGGATCATAGTGTTTTAAGGATATTCAGTTATTTTACGGTTTTTTTAGAGCTCAAAAAAATAAACAGGCTGACAAAAAAGGTGAGAATTTACTTGTAAAAGCTTTTGCATTCAAGCTTTTGCATTCAAAAGCTTTTGCAGTCAAAAGGCTCCTGCTTATATCACTCAAGTGGGATGAGATTTTGTCATTCGCTCAGTGATTATGTAACGGCGCCACGTTTGTTATGTAATATCGTGCTCATGAAGTTAAATATTAGGCATCTTTATTACATAAACCATCCAAAAAATTGGCTTATCAGCTTGGGTTTTGAAAAACCCTTTTAACAATTTAACTTTGTTTGAAATGTGAATTGAAATGATTTTTGAAATTGTGAATTAAAGCGGTTAAAAGGTTATTGAAGATTAAAAAATAATTCAAAAATTTGATAGATCCACAGATAATTTCGGTTTTATATTGGTTCATAATCTAGGTGTTACATTTGAATCAGTTATATATTGTATCTGCATTCCGTAGTAGATCTCTGTTTGATAAATCAGCTTCACATGAAGTGTCGTGCGATCCCAGATATCAGCAGAGCCATCACAACCCCAATCTGCCCATTCAGCACTGGGAAGTTGTTCATGTAAGCTTTGAAGCTCTAGAACAAACATGTTTTCCGGCTCAATTTCTACCCTTATTTATTCTATGCATGTTAAGCCAAAATGACTGTGTTTTATTGTTTAAATTCGTGAAAAATTTGGTTTTCAGCATGAACATGTCTATGGCTTTTGCCGACTGAAATCTATCGTTTTCACGACAAGAATTTATGGATTTCCTTTTCTACGGAGTTTGCGTCAAGATATGATAGTTTACAGATTGAATATCATCCTAGATAAAGCTGAATATGTCATTTTCGACAAGTTCTGTGAAACAAACGCTTTTTTCCTCTTTTTTTGAAAAAAAAAAACATTTGATTTCGACGAACATTTTTTTCTTCGGGCCCGCACCTTCATAAAAACGTTTTTATTTATATAATTTCTAAAAAACAATTTTGCACGATCTTGCATCTTTTTTCGCAATGTTTTTCTCCCTTCGAGTCTTACATATTTTTTCACAATGTTTTTCTCCCTACAAAAACATTTTGATCGCAACTTTGACAAATGCGGGTTGCTTAATAATTTCACCTGAAACTTGTACAAGAGCTCATACACGTACCTGGTAATCGATATCTGCTTCGATTTTGAAGAAATTCTTAGTTTTATCGGTCATATCTGCCGGCACCCCTTGGTCGTCTCCAGTACTAACAAACATGACGAAGCTGGCCTCCCCCTCTTCATTGGTAGTCACGCCCGTACTCTTGTAGCAGATGATCTGAAAACACGTTTCAAAAAATCGAATTAAAACAAAAGTATCTAGAAATAGTGAAACTGGAATGAAACAACAAAGCTTTTTTGGATGGTGAAATTTAAAAGCTAGCGGATAATCAGCTGGTTTTGAATCTCTCCTACGAAAGTGTGAAACGTTCTATAGTTTGAAAATGAGGAAACCGGTGCTAAACAAATAAGACAACAGGCCATTAGGGCGACAAATAAAAGTTATTATATGTAAAATGAATACTTCGAACTTGAGCAGTTGAAATTTCTCGCGGTTGAAGTAAGAACATTCCAAAAAATTGCAAAAACGGCTCAGAAAATTTGGCAAAAATTTGGTCGTAATTGTGCTTTCGTAGAGCTCGGGAAATCAATTTGATCGACCAAAAGAATTTCGACAACATTTTCGAATTATATTTTTTTGAAAACCCGCCCTCTTTCTTTGAAAAATCTAGATTTGCCCCTGACTAAAACGATAACCACTCACTTGGTACACGTAGAGTTTAGCGTTTTCAGGGAAGCCACCGTCTACCTCGAAGTAGCCTTCGTCAATGAACGGATTCTGAAACTTCTCTACACACTGGATGTTGGTAGCTGGACATTGTTTCTGTGAGAGCCAAGTTCCAAATGACGAGCTCGCCTAGAAAACAAAACACATAAAATTAATTTGAAATTAAATTTTTTCTTTGAAGCTTCTAAAGTAAATCTGAAATTTTTCTGTTGTGTTTCTACCAGACTCAAAAGCATGAGTGAACAAATATTATCTAGATTCGCTGTTTTAAAAAAATCTAACTTTTGTCGAACCCAGAGTTTTACTCGCAAAATAGTGGTGCAAAAAGACTCGTAGGGCATTGGAATGATAGCAATTTGAAGCCTTTTTATTGTGACTCGGATTTCAAATTATGGATGAAAAAAAGTTTGCCTGTTCTTTTTGTTTTTGCTGCTTAGGCCACTTAGAAATCACTTATCTTCGAATAGCGCAAAAACCCTAAAGTTAACTGCTCGAAGTTTTTGTAAATTTAGAGAAAAAAATCTTTTTTTTGTTATTTTTTTAATACTCAAAATTTCTGGCTAATTGAACAATAACCAGCTGTTTTGTTAGCTATGAAATAACGCACTTCAAATTTTCTTTTATAAACATGAAAATGTATATATAAACATTTAACACGTATATATATATATATATGTATGTATAGGGGCGGATTTAGGGGGGGGGGGGGGGCGGGGTGTTGCGAGGGCAGATTTTTTTTTTCTAAAGGCGGCTTTGGCGCCAATATATACTAACTTTGAGGGGGAGCGCGCGTCAAGATTTTCCAAAAAAAATTTTGACCAAAACAGCGTCTTTTTAGTGCTGTTGACCTAAAAAAAGTCGTCAAAATTTTCGAAAAGTTTTTTAAAAGTACCCCCTCGAGAAAATCATAGACTGTTTTTTAAAAGTTTTCTACCATCCCCCCGCGTAGGATCCAAACTTTGGTCCTCCAGATATCCTCATTTTTCTTTTTAGAACTAACTAACTAGCTGTCATTTAAAACAAGCTTTTAAAATCTTTGTAACAAAATTTATCACAATTTTGGTCAAACTGAGACATAAAACAGTAGCTTGTCGCATGTCACAATTGATGCACTAAATCCAAAAAATTGTTATCTTTTCGAGAGGTTAACAAATACCAAAAAAAAAAACATTTTCCCATGGCTGATCTAGAATTTTAACGAGGGGGGAAGGTCGACCTTCTCAAAAAGCACTAAAAAGAGCCTGTTTTAGGCACTTTTTGGAATCTTTTGATCCAGAAATTGCGTTTTTTTCAGCGCCCGCTCCCCCCTCAAAATTAATAAATATTGGCTGTTAACTTGAATGTTAACTTTTTATTGGCAATTGCCAATTGCAATTAATAATTTTGTCATGACTCGGGATATTTTTGTTAAAACTTACCTGGCTCAGTTTTTCGAGATCCGTCTTGCAGACTGACTCCGAGCCGTCAACTTCGCTCCACTGCTCGGCTTGGTTGTCAGTCACTCCTGCTGACACGAATGCAACTCCACTCACGAGCAAGAGCGCCAACAACTCAACTGTCATTTTCATTTTTCCGATAGAGGTATACCTAATAAACTAATCTATTATTTATTACTAAACAAGTTATAACCTATCAATAGATTCCTCTAACCAACTTCCCATCAAATCATTTAAGTTAAATTATCTGCAAACAGCTACCATTTTTACAAAGAAAAAGGATACAAAACATCTTGAAAATTATTTTAAGAAAATGAAAGATAATATAATTTTTCATAATTTGAATAACTGTACATTTCCAGCAGAAAATTTTTGCTATGTATGAAAAAACAATAATGCTAAATTGTTTGACAACCCTTTTAAAAAGAAAGTTTTCTGCTTTTTTGGGTTTTGAATCAAACTTTTGAAAATTCTTATTTTGCCCTCTAAATGCTGTTATCCAAGTTTTGAGACATACCTTTCGAGTTCAAATCAAATTCAAGAGAAATCAAGTGAAAACTGTTAATTTATCTGATACTAAAATTGCTCAGATTCTTACTCTTCTATCAAAACAACAAACTTAACAGCAACGAACCACCGAGTAAATTTCAAAGGGTGAGTAATCTCTTCAAAATTCAACAATATAATGCAAGTTGATTAATAAAAAGGTAGCTCTATTTTGCAACAGGATATTGATGTTTATCAATAACATATTTGTGTTTCTCGACTCATTGTTGATATTTGATGGTAACAAAGGTTCATTATTTAAACGAGGCGTTTTCGGTTCGAATTTACTGAGAAAGAGGTAATCAATGTATTGTGAGAGGATGAGCTATAAGCATGAGTAAGCATCGGAAATCAAAATATTTAAATGTGCAATAATGGCTCGTATCAAGACGAGGCCCTACAGTTTCCGACCACCATGCGTCGATTAAATGCTTTTGATTATCACAATTGCACGCTCCCCGTGAAAATTAGTTTATATTGAAACGTTCAGATCGGTCAGCAAAAAAATGATTTTTTTTTCTTCAAAATAAATACAAATTCACAAATAGATCAGCAGGTCCTTAAAATTGGCAATCAAAACAAGTAAGTTGCACCTCAAAAAACACTGAGCATCGGGTAGTTTGATATATAATAATAATTATTATAGAATAATTATATGCCGTATAAAGTTTGAACAAATACAAATCATATTGCACAAAGACAGCTTAAACAAAGAGAACTTAAATGGTTTCCATGATAGTTTTCTGTACATTTTGCCAAGGTCTATTTCAAACTATGTCAGAAAAAAACTTTTGTCAATTTTTCTGATGCTGACTAGTTTGCAATTGCAAAAAAAAATCCATTTGTTGATAATCATTATATAAAAACATACTTTTTCTGAAAACATTTTTCTTTTGCATAATGGCTATTGCAGAAAACGGTGTAAACAAAATCATTCGTTTTCTCATGCAAATAGTAATTCACAGTTGGTAACTCGAATCCACCTCTCGTAACCAGAAACGCAAGTTTTGAATATTTAGAAACTGATTAACATAAAATTAAGATCTGGAGTCAAGCAGTACGAACATAGCAACTTTTCTGATCAAGATCCAAAATATTGAAAATTACAATAGAAAATTAGCTAGCTTTAACAGCCCAGCTAAATTGTTTTTCTAGCCTAACTATTAAATTTTCTGATTTCGTACTCAAAATCAAAACAGAATTTTATAAACGGGTGAGTATCAAACAAATATTTAGCATTGGTTTTAAGTTGGATTGTACAAATTCTCTGAAAATGAAAAAATCATTTTTTTTTCAAACTGCATTTGATTTAAATTTGATATGTTATTTGGTTGTTAATAGAGATGCCTCAAATTTAACTCAGACTTTGTTTTTTTTTTGTTTTATCCCAAAACTTTTAGATTCAACTTTATCGGAGTGAAATAAAATGTTAAGCAAGGCAGCGAAAGTTTTCCAATATATATTTTCACTGCCTAATTTGTTCCCGTGGCTTAAGATTATGATACCGAGTGCACCTTGTATGAGTTCAATGCTTACAGTTTTTGAGCATGTCTTTACTCTGACATATAAATTATACAAACGGCGTCCAATTGTTATGGCTTAGAAAATCCTATTATGACTGCAAGTCAACTTTCAATTCATTTGAAACTGTTCGTGATGATTAGTTTGTTTTTATTTGTAATTTTAAGGTAGTTCATGAAAAAAACTGTTTGTGAACTTGAAATTTGATATTTGATCATCATACGATTTTTTCTGAATACTTAGTCATTTGTTATTGAAAACTATTCTCTCTTATACACAATTTCTTGAGAGCAGTCGAACTTTAGTTAGATTTTCTGTTTCCCCATTTTCATTAAGAATGTAAAGTAGGCAAAAAAAATCCCGAGCGCACTGCAAGCGATTTTTGAGAACTGTTGTGTAACTGGTGGTAATGTATTTTTGGCCATAACATGAAGTGCTCAAACCTGTATTTCAGAAGATCAAACGGGTGAAGTTTTACTCAGAGAACGAAGTAATGTTATTTTTTTAATCTCTGGTAAGAAATCTTGAAAAAATATTTTATGTGTTTAACCTTTACCACACTAATTTTCTATAAACGCAATATCTAGTTGAATTTGATTTTAAGTTTCTTTTTTAGTCTGTCTTAAAACACTAAATCAAAAAATTGATTTAAAAAAAAAAACAAAAGTCTGTGATTTTAAAAAGCTTTACAAATAGGACATATAATTCTTTTCATGATTAAGTTGAGAGGTTTTTTTTATAGAATTTTTGTGAGCAAAAATACCAAATCATGTTTTCTGCGAATCCTTTTACGATCGAAGCATCTCGCATATATGCTCCTTTTTCAAACAAAGACTTTTTAGAAACCGTCAATACAGTGTCAGCGTCAGTTTGCGATCAATTAGAAATTTCAGCCGAATTTCTTAGCTCATCAGCTGAAGAATTGTTTTTGAAACAAAGTTTATTTTTGTCCGCATTTTTTTGTTCAAGTTGAAATCAGTAATCTTCAATGAAACAAAATAACTTTTTTTGGCTCAGTCAAACACAAAAGCATCCATTGTTTCTAAACTGCTGTCAAAAACTTTCTAATAAGTAATTGAATTACGGGCACGTTTTTTGTGTACAATTGTCACCTAAAAATAGACATCATATCGTAATCATTTATTTATTTCTATTCAATTCTTTTCAATTATAAAAATCCATAAAAAAACTTTTTTTGCCTATGACTAGTTTATCACTGCTTTTAGCAGATTGGCAAGATTATGTCTCGTTCCAAACCCAAACAATGAGAGCTCAACTTTTTTAGTAAAAAGCTTCCCACACTCTCAAAACGGACTAAATTTGGGCGTGTTGTTGAACACACAGGCAACACCTGTGGCAATACAACGTGGAAAGAAGCTTGGTTATGCGTTGTCTCTAAACACAGAACATTAGACTATGGTAAAAACAAACTCGATGAAATTTTTGGACTCCGCCGAACTGACATTCGATTCAAGTATGTCTCGTTTCCAACCCAAACAGTAAGAGCTCAACTATTTTAGGAAGAAGCTTCTCACTCACTCAGAATGGACTATGTGTGAGCGTGTTGTTGAACACGCAAGCAACACCGGTGAGGATACATAGTGGAAAGAAGCTTGGTTATGCGTTGACTCTGAACACAGTAACCAGAGTATGGTAAAAACAAACTCGATGAAGCTTTTGGACTCCCCCAAACTGACAATCGATTCAAAAAATTTCATACCGAGAATCAAATTTATTGTATTCAGGCTTTCAGTGCGCTTTGATTTTCTTTGGTACTATTCGAAACAATCCTTTTTTGTTAAGATTAACTGAGCCCCCCTTCTAAACATTTTTAAAGTTTTTCTTGCTGTAAAAAAATTATCTTAAGATGACTCGGCACCCAATGAAGTAAATCAAAATCATTCAAAATGACTCCTCTGTTTTACAAAGGGTCGACAATAAAACTTAATTAAACGCAACAACATTAAATCGAAACAAAATATTATATTAAGTAAAATACTACAACCTTAAATCACCAAACAAACTGTTCCTTTCTCGTGATTAAAACACATCCTAGAATATCTACATTTTGAAACTAACCCAAGAGTTCATAATCAGGATTTTTTTCTGCATTTTTAAATTTTTCATCTTTGTTTTGCGTCTTTGTCAATCTGCATAGAACTTTGTGTTGTAAAGTTTTTTGAATCCCTCCTCGTGATCAAATGAGCAGATAGCCGAAACTCTCGGTAGGACTTCGGTTTTTTGTTGGACTTCTATCGAAGATTTTGATACCGCCAATTCCAACCTTGTATGGAACGAGCTCGAACAGAAACCGTAGATTCAAACGATGAAAATTTAACGCGATAGATTACCTCAAATACCCTCATTAAAAAACTATTTTGATTGATTTTTTCTTCAGATGAGCTTGTTCCGCAATTTTGACTTCCTCTCGAAGAAGATTTTGACCCTATTTTGAGAAAAATTATGTTCGGCCTCGTAATTAGTTACGATAAGTAATCGTTCAAAATGTTACGCAATTTCAGGCCGAGATAGTTTTGTCTTGCTTTCAGTTTTCCCGATTATGATGAGTGCCCTCGTGTTTTCTGCGCCTGACATCGGACTTCTAAGTGATCAAACAAAAGCATTAAACTCACTAGTGGCATCTTTATCATATAATGGGCATAGTTTAATGGGTGTTTCATTCTTCATTCCATAAGCAAGGCTGGCATAATTTTCCACCATAAGTTTTATTGTCTCACAGTGGTTCGAAATCAAAACGAGGTTGTGTGTATAATCCGCAGGGCAGCAACGACTAGTTCCCAAAAGAACTTGAAGGATACATTCTTTTGGAAGTCTCAAAAGTACTGCCAACTTGACCTCAGACTGAAACACACTTTTCGTCACATCAACTAAATAAGGTAATCAATTAATAAAGCAACCCTAACCCAGCTAAATAATGCAGCCAAACATTGTTTACCATCATCGCAAACTAGGGTTATGCAGTTACTAGTGAGTAAAATTTGTTTACTAGTAAGTTACTAGTAAGTTACCCCTTTTTTACTAGTAAGTTACTTTTCTTACTTTTAAGTTTCAAAAAATCAGGGTCTGCTTGAAACTACCAAGTTTGAAGACTTCGATTTACACAAACTCAAAATCCGCGAAATAATCATTATGAATAGTATTATCAAGTAAAGCAGCATTGCAGTATATGAAAACAAGTTTATCTGCTCTTGCGACTGAAAGTCGATTACGATTTTTTGAATGAATGAAAGCGAAAATACTCCAGACTCTTTCGCTAGCCGCACTCGACGTAGGAATACTGAGCACCCTCAGGGCAGTTTTTGAGCATATCTTTACTCTGACATATAGATTAAACAAACGGCGTCCAATTGCTATGGCTTAGAAAATCCTCGTATGGCTGCAAGTCAACTTTCAATTCATTTGAAACAGTTCGTGATGATTAGTTTGTTTCTATTTGTAATTTTATGGCAGTGTATGAAAAAAACTGTTTATGAACTTGAAATTTCCTAGTGAGTAAATCCGCACAACCCTATCGCCAACACATAAAAGCACACTACTTTTAGACCGCAGTGTCCAGACCCCCCT